TTGCAGCCGCATGAAGAAGCGAGTAGACAAAAAGTGTCGTGCGGCAAGGAAAATCCTAATTACGAAATTCTTATATTCCTATCTAATGCGAAGAAGCAAAAAGCACAAATTCGAGAAAAAGTCCGAAATTCCGAGAGCGATGGGGCTCGACAAAATTTGAAAAAGATTTAAAAGAAAAATTCAAAAAGAACGAAGCAAATTCCCGCGCGATGTCCGCGCCCAAAAGTTTGGAACCGAAACAAAAGAAATGATGTCAACATTTAATAATCGCGCGCGCGGTGGCGCGCCAGCCATCTGGTCAACCAATCAATCAACCGGCCGTCCCAGGACACACCCAGCTTCGAACCCAGCCATTTGAAAAGAAGCGACGAAAAAGACGAAAAAGCAAGGACACCGATGCAATTTCCCACAGATCCCGATCTCCCGTAATTGGCCTAACCTTCCCAACTTAGGACCCCTCAACGTAGCTGCGCAGAAAGTCGTGCGTTACAGAAAGTGGTTTGTCACAGCGGTAGTATTCTATCTCATACAAAACACAAACATAGCGGGGGAATGTATGTGTCCCCCTTGTTGCTATCAAGGGGGTCGATTCCACCTTGTCGAGTTGTAATAACTTGCGTGACCAAGATACCAATGGCAAATGGGTTTGCTGCTAGTTCATGGTGATGGACACCATCCCAAGTGGAAAAGCCTCCCCGTGTATCTGACTATGCTCTTGGTGTTTTCAGCTATATATCCCATCTATTATTGTGTGTGCATGTGTTTGTTTGTATGTGTGTGCGGAGTCCATGGGGCGCAAGGCTGAATGGCCTAGTGCCCTAGGACACTAGTCCATCCGGCCTTCCTTATGGAGGGAATGTGGGTGGGACACACGCACACACACACACACACACACACAATCAAGTTTTTGTACGTCAGTCTTTCTTCTGTTGTCTGTTCTCCCTCTAATTTGTTCTAAGTTTTTTTGTGTGCCCAACTGAGCACCCTTAAGTAGTGCCAAACAGTCAGTGGTCCCACGTTTGGAGTGCCAACTGCACTCTTAGGGGGGTTGCTTGGTTCGGGGCGTCTGTGTTGCCTGTCGGTGATGACAGATGTTCGGCGGAGTGACTCCCTGGCTCATTGCGTGGTGGGAACCAATAGTCTGCGGTGTTAAGCTGTGATGTGAGTAAGTCATGTGTTGTTTTGCTCCGTGTTGGATGTGTGGGCTGCCTTGTGTTGTTTGCGCTTCACCGTTGCCTTGCTACATATCCCGCTTGGGTCACGTGTTGTTCGTTGTGTGCTGTTACGTTCGCTGTGCAGTCTGGTTGTGGTAGTCGTGTTGCCTTGTGCTTCGCCGCGCTGCTTCCAAGTTGTCCATTCATGTGCCGTGCCTTTTGGGCTCCTTGCTTGTGGGTCGTGTAGTGTGGTCGTCTTGTGTATGTTGCCTTGTGCTTCATTACACGGACGCTGTGTTTTGCCTCCAGTTGCGGTGTTGTTCCTTGCAGCCGCCGGTGTCATTCTGCAGTTGAGTGACTTCTGGTGCATTGCCCGGTGCTTCGCAGAGTTGTTTCTTGCCGCCGTCCGCCGTTTGACGTGTTGTTCCTTGCAGTCGTCTTTGGTGTTGTGCGGTTGAGTGGCTTCGGGTGTGTTACCTGGTGCTTCACACGGGTGCCCCTCGCTGCTATGTTTCGCTTGTGGGCAATCTAACTTCAACAAGGGTCAAAGGGTTCATGACCCAAAACATCCAAAACCTGTACTCCGCAGATTGTCGAGGGTTCAGCCTCCTGATGAGTCGGTGCAATTCCGACGAAATAATCTATCATCAGTTTTATTGTTTTCTGTCTTTGCTTTGTTTGTACTTGTATTTTTTTATGCCTTTGCTCTATGTAAACTTGTACTTTTGCAGGTGTTGTTTTTGCATGGTTGACGTTTGTCTTGCTGTTGTTTCCCTCGCTGCCTTATGATGTATGTTTGCCCATCTATTTACCCCATGCCTTTCACCCTGTTTGCTTTGTTGTTTTGTGTTGTCTGCCTGCCCACCCGCCTCCCCCTTGCCCTCCAACCTTTCGCTAGTGCACGTTGTTTTGTGCCTCGTCGCTTGTCTTAAGTCGTTGTTTTTCTACTTGTGATTGTCTTTTGCTTTTCTTTTGTGGTCTTGTGGCCTAATCTTTGGGCCATGGTCCTGTGGTGTTGGTAGGATATGTGAAACATAGAGGTCGATGTATGCACGTCCGTTGCTTTTGTGTAAGGGATGAATTAGCCTTTTCCATACGATGTGGATCACTCAGCCTTCTGATGGTATGACTTTTGATCGCATTTTCAAGCGCAACTCGCCGCGATTGACATCGCGGAAGTATTTTGTCTCATACAACACACACACACACACACACACACACACACACACACACACACACACACACACACACACACACACACACACACACACAC